CTTCCAGAGTTAAGCTTCTCTCTCCCTCGTACTTTTCTGTCTCTCACTCTCTCGCTCTTTTTATTCTTAATTCTCCAGCTCCAGCCCGATCACTCGCTGATTCTCATCAGTCGTTCACCTGCTGGCCTCACGCTCAGCTCTTTAGACTATCGCACACTCCCAGTGAGCATCCTCTCCGATTCTCCTCCCTCACTCTCCCTCCTCCCACCCAGTCACACACACACGTGCACGCTTTAGTTGCCACTTCCTCCATCTCCACCCTCTTTGTCCGCTCTGCAGCTCTCACACACAACCCGATACTCCAAAACCTAAACTCGACACTAACACCCACCAACCCCCCAACCAATACCACTTACAATCTCCCTTATCCCCCTTCCAAAGAAGGAGACACCCCCCCCCCCATTCAACTGAGAACTACTGAAGTCTGCAGTCAAAAAGAGAAAGCGTAGATTGTTAGGGTAAAGGGGGTTGTCTTCAATCCCCACACTGCCTCACAAGCCTGCTCGGGCTGTTGCTGTGGCAACCAACGTAAGCCACACATGAAAAAAACCCCACCCACATGCACATTCATGTTCATTATCATAGGACTTGAACAAGGTGATTGTGTTCAACATTAAGCACCCAGAGATGAGCAGACATCGTAGCCTCCCCCAGCACTCATTGTGCAGGATGAGAAAACATGTGTGGAAAGGTTTTTAATTACTGTAATGAGTCTCATTTAATCCCCAGATACATGTGCGTTTCCGTCACTTAGCTGACATCCACAGTTCCCAGCAGACCTCCGACTAATGTCACCAATAGACAGATAAATCCCTGCTAAATAATACTTTAATGCAGAGGAGTGTCAATCTATTGTTCCTTTACTTAGCTTTTCAAAGTGTATACCTGAACTACCAAACGGTGTGTGCGTGTGTGTGTGTGTCAGACATGAAGAGATAATAAAGGATTACAGCACATTCGTCACACTGTGAACCATTAAGAGCTGTGTATTGTGATAAAAACAAATAATCCTCTCAACTCGAAAAGCTTCTTGGGTTAAAAAAAGAGAAAAGAGCGAAGTCTATTATATCATTAATACAAACTTTGAAAAATGTCCAGATTACCAATAATCTGCTGAGATGTTTTTTTGAACTGTGACACTAATGTCTCTTTCTCTTCTTAACGCTTAAGTGAATAAAATCTGGTTCTTTTTTAAAGGTCCCAGTGACCTGAGGTGTAGGTTTTAAAAAAATGAAAATGTGAAATGTGACAGCTTTGTTGCGAATTATCCGATAAGAGCAGATACTGCTTAAATGTCCCGCTTAAAATCTGATTACCATGAAGTTAACACAGATTATTCGATCAGATTTCAATCAGATGAAGGGCATATGCATTTACAATGACAGCTTGAGACATAATTGAACACCGAATACTGACAAAGAAAATAGTAGAACTGGAAAAAATTTACAACCACAAAGAGCTTTTTTAAAAAAAAAAATCTGCTGTGGACAGTGATAGTTGTTTTTAAATTGACTGCATCTTTTCTGCTTTAGCATCCTCATTAAATCAGTAAATACCCTGTAACTGACCCAAACTGCAATAGATTCCCATCCCATTAGCCGCTGAAATGGCCTGTGGTCACTGCTCTCCTACCCCCATATCATATCCTCTGAGAATTGCTGCTGCGCTAAAAAATGTCCTCATCTTCCATGCCCTCTCTCTTCCAATCTCACTTTCAGCTATTTTTCAACCAAGAAGAGTTTGATAATAATCCAAAATCCTTTGAGACATAAAATCAAATAATCCCAGAGCTAAGTGAATCCTGAAAATCCCACAGGATGTTCATTATTCCTGATGCAGGTTTCATTATTCTATTAATATTTCTATTTATACAACAAAATCTTAAACTTCTTATAATTTAAATGTGTATCACCATGCTTAGCAAAGTATGCCCTGCAAGCAGCTAAGAATGTAATCTGTATGATGTGTGTGGGAGGCAACGTGTGACCTGCTAGTGACCTAAAAGGCTAGCTAAAGGTTTAATCACAGAAGCATTTCACATCAGTTACACGTCTGAGGTGTCCAGCAGGCAAGATGGCTGCTCTTAATTGTTATTTATGCATAACAAGTATGTCTCCCACAGGTTGCGATTTAATTAGTGGTGGTCGACCTCAGGGGGGTAGAACAGGAGGGCGGGCAGGAACTGTAAACAGCACTGAGCTGTAAGAAGTACAGCACTGAACGAATGACTGAAGGCATATCTCCAACAGACTGTCTACATAGATATTAATATTAAATATATAATACAGTTCAGTGTGTTCAGTGGTGAATTATGTCAAATGTTTTACTTCATCAGCTGTGTTAAGTGGTAAAACAGAAGCGGGCAATGAATTTTCCCAAGCGGCCACATGAGAAACTGGGACTGTTATGGAGGGCTGCAAAGAAATATATTATAATGGTGCGAACCTCCACAATAGTCCTAGTCTCCCATGTGGTGTCTTGTAATAATCAGTTGTTGTGATATAATATTAAATCCAAAATCTGAGAATCAAAGTCTATCAGAAATCCTTCGTCAGAGTTCCCGCGGCACAATGTCGGAGTGTTCTCGTGCTGTTTTTGGATATGTTAAACCCTGCCTCCCATCACTCTTAAACAAATTGACTGTTTAATCAAGCACATAATTTGTTTGCGAGGCAAAGTAGGAGTGCCAAGTGCAACTCAACTTTGAGGAAACTTTCCATCGCTATAATGATATCTCTGCAGTATACCTCTACAGAACCCTACTGTGACTATGATTGTGATGTGGTTCGATAATTATACAGCATTTTAAGTGGGTAATGAGGTTATATTAGAGGGTGGGGGAATAAAGCTGCTATGAGATGTAAGCTTATTCAAGTTGTTATTCTCTCCTGAAATGAAACTCTTTGTGCTTAAGTGTCCCGGTTAGATGCAGAGTAAACAGTAAATATGACCTAATTATAATAATAACATAGTCTTTCAGGTGATG